CCCTTCATTTGTCATTTTTCCCAGGGTCTCCTGTATGGGAAATACTTAGCCCGCACACTTTTGGATAGACCCCCTCCCTTATGAGAAGTTCTGGAGTGAAGCTCTCAGCCTCTGAGAGTTCCAAATCGCTGTTGTTAAGTACCATGGAGTCACTTTCAACTTATAGTGACCCTCATCAGCTGGTTTCAAACAGCCAAGACAATCACTTCTCTCCCCATGGCTCTGACCTCAACTCAATATTTTGTCCAGGACAGGAGATACCTCTTAAATTCTATTTAAACCCAGTGACTCGTCCAGTCCTTGCGTTATCATTCATTTCCCCAATTTTCTATTCTTCACTATCAAAGAACAAACATAAACAAAAATGTCCTGCCTAGAACACGCCTGAATGAGAGAAAAAACAAGAGTAGAGAGAGAATATTTGCAATTAATAAAAAGGCTGACTGAGTTCACATTTGTACTCATCTCTTGTTTCTAGAAAAAGGGAGTTTGATATAAAAAGAGCCATGTTGACATTATGGCACAGGCACAGGGGAGCTCTTTGTCTAGTTCTACGCTGGAATTGTAGTGGGATCTGTGGAAACTATCCCCCACAAACACTCAAAATGCTGTGTGGGTTCCACAGTGCCTTAATGAACCCTGAGCAGGCACCACAACTGGGTTCGTCAGAACCACAGTATCTTTACATCCGTAAAAGAAACGGGAAAAATTGAATGATAAAATCTCTAAGAATATTATTCAAATTCCAACTCATTAGTAAGCTGATAATTGCAAATCTACCAGTCAATATGTACGGACTGGTGGTGGTTATGTGCCATGGAGTCGGTTACGACTCATAGCAATACTGTACAGGGTTTATGAGGCTGTAAATCTTTATGGGAGCAGAAAGCCTCATCTTTCTCCCATGGAATGAATGGCTGGTAGTTTCAAACTGCTGACCTTGGGGTTGCAACCCAATTTGTAACCACTACGCTACCAGAGCTCCTTGTATGTATGGACTAGACACTCAATGTTGAGCAAGAAGAAAGATCAGAGGTGCAAGAGAGGAAAGAACTCAGCACAGGGCTGAAAAGTATGGCTCTTCTGGTGCATCGCTAGTGATTCAAAAAGTGATTTGGAAGTATCTGCTGTTATGCCAGTCGATGTGCCTCAGAGTGGTGGGCCAGCTGAGTCCCTCTCTGACGTTAACTTAAGGACTAGTGAGAAGACACACCATAAATCTACAGAATTGCGTATTTACAATTCTAGTCAGTGGTAAGAAAGAAGTCAGGAGTGCAGGAAAGCCTTTCAAAAAGGGATTAGTCTGAGTTAGTGCATGTGAAATGCACACACCAACACTAACAAATCAGGGCTGACCACACCAAGCAGGATCACCTAGGGGCCTGACACTGACTAATCTCTGGAGGTGGTGGTGGTTATGTGCCGTGGAGTCAGAACCAACTCATAGTGACCCTGTACAGGGTTTCTGAGGCTATAAATCTTTAGGGAAGCAGAACGCCTCATCTTTCTCCAGTGGAACTGCTGACCTTAAGGTTCGCAGCCCGATTTGTAACCACTACACTACCAGAGCTCCTTAATCTCTGGAGGTAGAATCTGGTTTATCAAGATCACATAGGAAGGCCAATAAGAGCCCTGAGTCATGAGGCTCAGAGGAAGCTGTCTGATTGCAATGAGTGAACACCTGTTCCGTGTAGGTAGCATGTCACTTTGGAAAACGGAAGCTCCCACTGGGTCTCCTTCTGGACAGTGCTCTATGCGTCTTCATTTGTAATCTTTTTTTTGCGACACTAAATCTATTATCACAGTTAGGGTTATTTCATGTGAGCTCTCTGAGTCATTCCAGCGAATTGCAGGCCCTTAAAGGTGTAGTGACAGTTGGCTGGTCTGAAGTGGAGAGAGTTCTATAGACCCCCAGGCCTCCAGATAGTACCTGAAGGGGCAGGAAACAAAAATTTGAGGGGGACTGCTCTGTAGCTGATACCTGGGTTGACAGGACTGAGAAAGACCAGGGCTGCGTGGGCAGCTGGGGTCTGAATTAAACAAAGGTGAAAGCAGAGAGTTCCACAGGACACAGTGTGATTTGTCATCTACCGTACAAATGTGTGTCAGAGCAGGTGATGTGAGTCTTCCAGAGGGACCCCTGACAGCTCAGCGAGGAAGATCAGTAAATCTGCTGCTCCTGCAAAGTCACATTGGAGCAGAGGTCTGGAGGATGGGGAGAGAGGAACATTCTAGGTGGGAAAGCAGCACAAAGGTGCTAAGCCAGGTGAATTCAAGGCAAGCGTTTGTGTGGTTGAAGTAAGTCAGTACAGTCTTGGGAACTAGAAGGATACAGTTCTTGCAGGTGCTTAGCAAAGGAAGACAAACTCAGCAGTGCATACACTCAATTCATAAAGAAACAGCTCTTAAAGCTAATTTCCCCAGGACTCAGTGGTGCTCTTTCAACACTGGTCCCAGTGACAAACAGCCTAGTAGTAACAGGAAGCACTGAGAGGGTTTCTCAAATAATATTCTGTTACTCCAGGTATCCTGGAATGAAAACGGGGAGACGTGCTCTGAGATCTTGGTCCCACCTCCAAGATAAGCCAAATGCTGGCTTATACCAAATGGTTATTTTTGACTTTTTTTTCTTAGATAAATTGAAATGGCATCCCTTCTGAGGCACAGAGGGATGCAGATTACATTCAAATTCCATGTGAGTACCTGCCCCCAAGCCCAAAAGAGAGCAAGGAAGGGACACAACAGTGACAAGGCAAGAGACCAACTAACTCCTTAGGTATCAGTCATAGGAGTTAGTCTTTATTAAGGCATTAGTCTCAAAGGAACCTATTTTAAAAAGGAAATGATGGGAGAGAAGAATGATCTTATTATAACAGGAAAGTGAGATTTGGGATCTCAGGGAGAAGGAGCCGGTAATAAGAAAGTTATTAGAATGAACCAGTCCTTGATAAAGCACAGGGAAGAGCGGGACGTACCAGAAATACCAGAGCCTCTGGATGGAGAGCGCACGCACGCAGCACCTGGAGCCGCAGCAATCCTCGTAGGAGTGGCATCTGTGGAGAGAGGACATAGGGGTCACCGTGCTGAGCTGGAAGACATAGCTGAACCAGTCACGTGCTCATTCTTCAACCACTTGTATCAAGTCAACCCTGACTTGGTTTACCTGGCACCCTCGACATGCATCGGAGGAGAGGTGTGTGCTCCATAGGACTTTCCATGGCTGTTTTGTCTAGCTTGCCTGACCTTTCTTTGGAGGGGCCCCTGGTTCAAACCTGCAAGTTTTTGGTTAGCAGCTAGTGTACTAACTGATTTCAGGTCTGCGCTTCTCAGGGGCTCCAGGTTTAGATCGTGTGCATGTGTGTGCGTGTATGTGCATGTGCGTGTATATATGTGTGCGCGTGCGTACGTGTGTACGTGCACACGTGCATGTGTATGCGTGAGCGTGTGGTGGGGGGAGGGCAGTACTCATGAAGATGGCAGATCGTCACCACTGCATTCCATGAAACTAGCGGAGCTGATGGCTGTCAACCCAGTGGCCACAATGGGAAGAGGCTAGCTGGAGATTGGTCAATGTCATTCAAAGATCCCGTGTGCCGCTCTCTAAAGGAAGAAGCCCATTGAGGCATCACGACCATACATACCAGCGTTAAAAGTGCCAGTTCTGCAGCCAGAAAGAAGTTCCCAGGGAGGGGCGCATGAGCCTGATACTGTTCCTCGTGTACTCTGTCTTCAATCCCTTACCATCGTCCAAAGAGGGGGATCTTACATGAATCAGTTCAATGGGGGCAAAGCAGAGGGTTTTGAAGTCAGAGAAGTCGGGGTAGCAAGGAACTTGAGCCGTGGTCTTGCCTCTAAGTAACTGTGGAACTGAATCTCTGTGAACAGCTATTTCCCCAAGTACAAATAAACACCTGCTTCCTGTTTTGAGGACACCATTATGATTGAACTGTTCTTAGTGCCGTCGATAGGTTCTGACTCATAGTGACCTTAGATAGACTTTCTGAGGAGCAGCTGGTGCACTTGAACTGCCAACCTAGCGGTTTAAACCGACCTTGTGGTCCAGCGCACTAACCCATAGCACCACACCAGTACTCCTGATTGAACTGTACCCCCTCAAAATTTGTGTTATCATCCCATTTTGGAATGGGTTGTCTTTGTTATGTTACTGAAGGAATCCTGATGAGCAGGGGGGGTAGTGTGCCTTGGAGTCAGTTCCCAATCCTAAGGACCCTGTATAGGGTTTTTGAGGCTGTTAATCTTTACAGGAGCAGAAAGTCTCATCTTTCTCTTGTGGAATGGCTGGTAGTTTCGAACTGCAGACCTCGAGGTTCAAAGCCTGACTTGTAACCACTACTCAACAGAGCATGCCTTTAGTCAGTTTCCCTTGTTATCTCAGAGAGGTTAAAACCAGCAATGAGACAGCAAGGATGGGGAAAGAGATACCAAAGAATATGAAGCTCACCCAGGAGCAGACATTCAGAGAGACAAAGTCCTTCCTCCAGAGCTGCAGACAGCCTTCCTATGGAGCCAGTGCCCTGAATGCAGACTTCTGTACTCCGAGACTATGAGAAAGGTTGTGTGTTAAAGCCACCCACATGTGATATTTCTGTGAAAGCAACACTCGAAAACGAAGACAGAATTTGGTACCAGAAGAATGGGGCGCTACTCTAACATACCTATAATGTGGAAGGAGTTTTAGAATTGGTTCATGAGTAGAGGCCGCAAGACTTTTAAGGTGGTATGGTGCCGTGGGATAATGTGTGAACTGGACTGCAGAGTCAGTTTGAACCACAAGGTTCAAGCTCACCAGCTGCTTCTCGGAACCCTTGGTCAGAACTGACTCCATAGCACTTAACAACAGTAAGACTGCTCTCTCTTCTGCTGGGAAGCTGGGAGTCTACAATTGTAAGCCTCCTCTTTACATATATGCATATATATGTTTCACTGATTTTGTTTCTCTAGAAAACCCAACCTAAGATGTGTGGTACCAAGAGAGTGGGATTCTAGAGAAACAAAATCACAGGGATGAGTTTTCTAAATTGATAACTCAAATCTGACCAATTTAAAAGGCACTGATAGAGGGTGGAAACATTTCATTCGCAGGAATCGGCCTTGAACTGATTTTGAGTTTGGTCCTCCTACCCTTTTTTTGGAGTCAGAGGAAGTCAGGCCTGGTCCCCACATGGTTAAGGAGTTCATCAGAAGCAGGATTCATTGTAAAGGCTCCCGGATCAAGAAAACATAAGGTGTTTTTTTGTTGTTGTTGTTTTAAAGTTTTTATTGTAACTTGAGTGAAAGTTTACAGGTCAGATCATCAATTTTACATTCAACAAATCATACACCTTTTTTCATTACAATGATCATAATCCACTCCATGTACCATCAGTTAACTGTATTTCTCTCTATTCACTTTAGCTTGCTTTTTTTTAAAACACTCAGGCATATAGAATAATTTACACCACCAAAGGTCACATTCTGCAAGCCTGCCTCCTGGCCACCATCTCTTAGTCCCTCTCTTCCCATGAATCTAGAGTCTTCAGCTGCTCCCTCTCTCCATGTCCCCATCTCTGCCTCCATCCTTGGTGTTCATGCTCTTCTCCTTTTGTGGTCCTAGGGACCTCTGTT